CTCAGAGATAAGAGGCAAGTAAACACACCTAAGAAAGTATGGCATCTCTGCCTAATAAATCCCAACAACAAAGCAACCATGTATAGAGAGATAAAGATGAAGAAGATAAACACACCAACAGAAAAATAATATGAGAACATGTATCAGCCAAAATTCTCACAGGTGAACAGTGAATAGCCTTGGAAAAAGAGTGAATAGATGAAAGATAGGGCAAGAAAGAAGTAAGCATGAAACAAGGACATGAGAATTGAGCTGGTGAAAGATGAAGAGAAGACAAAGTGCCCCCAAGCTTAAATCAGCCCTATGATAGGCCAAGGCATGTGTATCCACCAAGTGGGGAGGACAAGGCATGCTGGCACTAGCACAAAGGAGAGATAGAAACTGATAAACATGGGCCTGAATATCAGAAGAAAAGGTGAGGAAATCAGTAGTAGGGCCTAAATGCAGAAGGGAGAAAGAATAATCATGAGTCACAGGAGAAAGGGACAAAATGTAACAAACCTGAGAAATCATGTCTAAGAAGGAAGAGGAAGTTCTAAGAAGATTAATTGCAGTGGAACAAGGAGATGCATCAAATACAGGTGGAGGGAAAAGGCTATCAAAATCGTCATCCTTGGGAACTGGTTCCACAGGTAAGGGAATATCTGTCTCCAGTTCAGAAAGAGGACCAGACCACATGTAGAAATCCAACTCTTGATACATTATGGCTGACATTTCTTGAACATGCAAAAAGAAGCTTGACACCATAGTTGTTGTTTGTCTATCTTGAATAAGATCTCGTTGATCGATACTAGACAAAGTAGTAGTGATAAGAATTTGTGAGTACATAGTGTGGAAAGGAATAAAAAGTAATTAAACTAATCTTTCCACAAACTGGTAATAGTTACAAAATTAGTCAAAGACGAGTGTTGTCAATAAGTGATTATTGAACAATAAGTATAGAGGGAATCAGCTGAGTTAGGAGGGTGTGTCACATTCCTATTAGTGGAGGGTTGTAGCATGCTCAATTTCATGCTACAGTGCAGCAATAGCACATGGAAACAAGTGAGTTTAGATGAGAGCCTCAAGGCTAGTGGCAAGCAAAAAATTGAGCATATAGAGGATAGCACAAAATCGGAAAAAGCTAATATGTGGGAGGAGGTAAGGTATCATAGAAGAAACATATTAAAACAATACTTACAGCTTATGTTTGATGCTAGACACAGATAAACACAAAGACATTTTTATCATTGCATATTTTTATCACATTCTGGATCCAGACAAATATAAACACTGACAATTACAGTTGCTGTTTGATGCTGTACACAGATAAACATAGAGGTAAATATATAATATTGTTACGTCTCCGTTTGTCAATTAACTTTCCATAACTTCGACGAAACTTTAGCGACACAAGTCCTTACTTAATAAAACTGGTTTATTCTTTCCGAATATAACTTTACGATACACTTATTTTCAACAATTGCGCTAAAACAAACGCTATATCAACGAACGTCAACAATACTTCT